CACAGTTGCTGGATGTATTTTCATTTTAGGTGCAGACCTTTGAAAAATAAAAATGCTCTTCTCCATGTTGGGGGTGACTGGTGTGGGAATGTGTGAGCTTTTGTGAGTGTTAATAGGTGAATGGCCAAATAGTGTGAAAATGCTTTGAGTGTGCTATAAAGCTTAGAAAAGTGCTATATAAGTATAAGACCATTTACCATGTCTGTCAGAAGCAGGGCACTCAACGAATGCTATTTTTTATGTATACACTGCATGAATTAATATAACATCCCACATTAAGACAGACTTTTTAAAATATTTTCTCTAGGATCTCACTCTCTTTTTAAATAAAAGTCCTAACATGAACTGACATGTAGTCTGACTTGTTGTACAGAGAGATGTGTCCTGGGATGCAGCCATTTTTGCTGCTGAAGCTGCAGTTTGTACAGGGGCCTGGAGCCAAAGCCACACTCTCCATTTCCTCTGCTTTGATCTTCAGAGGTTCATCACACACAGTTGAGGCAATGGCTGCAACACAGAAAAGAGCTGGTGACTCACCAACTACAACCAGAGCATTGACAAACTTAAAAAAAAACAAAGTTAGATTCTGAACTGAAATACAGTAGGTACTATGAAAAATAGACAAAGCTGCAATAAGATTTTTTTTTATAAAAAAGTATTACCTTAAACATGAAAGGGGTCAAGCATAGCAATAAACCTGCATAGCATTATAACCAAGATCTGCAGCTCTACATGGCTTTATGGCAATTCATAGCCAGCTCTAGCTCATTGTTATAGGTGTCTGGCTGCAATGTCTGGTTCACTCTCACCTCTCTTAAAATCAGCAGCAGGCAGCTGATGGTGTGAAAAAAACGTGAAAAATAGCTGGTGAACAAAGTGGAGGGTTTAACAGCTAAAGAGTGTGAGTAGAGAACAAAGACAGAGCTAAAGAAGAGTGCATTTTGACCAGAAACATGATTTTAAATGACTGATCATTTGTTCTGTAACCGACCAGTGAGTAAATAACTGCTTTTTAGTAAGTTCACAATATCTGCTTAAAAGGTATGATTATAAACCAATCAGGCATAACATTCTGACCACTGGCAGGTGAAGTGAATAACACTGACTATCTGTTACAGTGGCATCTGTCAATGTGTGGGGTATATTAGGCAGCAAGTGAACATTCAGTCCTCAAAGTTGATGTTTTGGAAGCAGGAAAAATGGGCAAGTGTAAGGATCTGAGTGACTTTGACAAGGGCCAAACTGTGATGGTGAGATGACTGGGTCAGATCATCTCCCACACTACAGGTCTTGGTGCGTGTTCTTGGTTTGCAGTGGTCAGTACCTACCAACACTGTCTAAGGAAGGACAAATGGTGAACTGGAGACAGGGCCATGGACACCCAAGGCTCACTGATGATGAGGTTGATCTACTGTAGATTAAACTTTTAACTTCCATTTGTACTTTTCAAAAGATTAACATTTATTTGAATCTTTGTTAAAATGGCTGAAAATGAGAAACACTGTCCACTGGTCTCTATGAAGAGAAAGAGTCAGGGGCTGTAGTGGTGATATCACACCTAGAGTGGTGAGGCTGTTGAATGTGTCTATAAAGTCCTCCAACATGTCTTCATGACCACAGTTTTTACTCCTTTTCCGTAAGTTTTTCACTGAATGGTCGACACATCTGTGCTCTTGCTGGCAGGTGAGCTATGGAAGCAAACAGATTCACAGATGTTGCACAGTGAGCTGCAGAGTGACACGAGTGCCAACTGCCCGCTGACTCCTGTGTCCACATTAGGCAGGTGGTCAAACTGGTGTGGCTGACCAGTGTATGTATACACTGACATATGTCAAATATGCTCACAACTTGACCAAATTTAAAAAATAAATTATTGCAGGTTTTATAAAACTAAAACATTGTAGAAACAAATTTTTTGATAAGCATTTTTGTGGCAAAAGTGAGATGCTTGGGCACCCTATTAAACCCAAACTCGAAGTAATCAAATACTTCTAGGACTTAAAGTTTGTGAGTTCATTATGTCATGTCATCTGCTTTGTCCAAAATCAATAAATGTGAAAACTGTACCTTGAGATGTAGGCCTGGTTTCCTCAGTGAATAGTTTTTAGGCTCCTCTTTCCATTTCCTCCCATGTGACAACTCTGAGACGGTGCTGCTGACAGGAAGCAGCCTCTTCAGCCAGTGACTGTACTGAGCTCTGGCTGCATCAAGCTGTTCTTTCTGCAGTCACCTGAGGATCCACAGTACACCAACACATTAAACATCCAATAGATCTGATGCTTTACTATTCCTATAAGTATTAAACTAAATAGGGTGGACAATGATTTTTACTGCACAGGATGGTTGGATCAGCATTACAGAAACATGAATTTTGTTCGCTGCTGTTATATTGAAGTTTCTGCCAGTACAAATTTATTTTCCAATGTGGTGTGGAAATGTGTGACCCAGCAGACAGACTGATACTTGCTCAAATATCCACCATCTGGAACTTTGATCAAAACATATCAATACTGGCTTTAGATACTGAGACAACAGCCCAGACAGTTATAGGAAAAAATCTACTTTTGGATATTGTTAGACTTCTATATTCAGAGCACTCATGCTAGTTACAGCCTAGTCTCCCATCGCCATCACATAGCAGATCTTACCATGTTATGGCCTTGTGTTACTCACCATTTAAATACTGAAAACACAATGGCACACACAGAGCTTGCAAGACAAGAAAAAGTACTTGGTGTGCCAACCACTTCAAAACAATGGAGACTGCCAAATGCTTAACATACAAGTTGACAAAAGACACTTTAAGCTTAGCCTTATTTGTACTTAGCCTGATAGACAATTAATAGGTTGCCATATCTGATACTGACACTTGTTGGACAGGACTGTATGAAATCAGAATATGTACAGAGTTGATATTTGCTTCTAAGATACAGTCCTGTCATTTCCACAAAGGATACACTGAGTGTGCACCAAGCTCTGACTGGGAAGAGACAACATTAATTTATGTTCCCCTATGAGAACCTCCACTGCAGATCATATTTAAATTAGGCAGCCTGTTTTTATACATCATAAAATAGAACAAGTTTCACACCACATATGTAACTCTTTACTGTAGTCAAAGCTTGACTCAGCTCGACCTACATAAAGTCTCTCTCCTTCTTCAAATGCTTACTCATTAACTTTTGTGCTTCTAAATAGCTCCCATGTAAATCAGTTCTTCTGGTCACACATTACTTTTTTGTCAGCTGGATGGACACATGCTGTAGTGCAGAAAATAATGTTTCCTTGACAAGGTCAGGTCTGAACGTATGAAATATAATTAACATGTTGTGAATGCTGAAAATCTTAATGCTGTGTTGTGATTTTGCTTAACTGGCTCAATGTTTATTTTTGTCTGCCAACCTGCTTGGCTCCCTATGTTTTACCATCCATTTGATCTATTGCATACAAATCACTGCTAGCAAGTAACTTGCGCAACTAATCTAAAAATCTCAAGTAAGCAATCTAAAGTAACACTTAAAAATTTAGAGAATGTAAGTAAGTGGGCCACCTAGCACTTTAAGTGTTTTTTGTAGTGTAATACCTTTATTGAAGTGTAATTGTGTCCTCGGTACTATATCATATAACAACAGAAAAACCAGTTTAACAGCCATTCCCATGGGCCTGTTATGTGGGCTGCAGTAAGTGACATCTTGTGCCTGTATGGCATTCTGGTATATTAATTTGTTGCTTGACAAATTTCACAAGTCAATAAAGAAGCTTTCACTATTTGATTCTCAGGGACTGACACTAATTCTTGGTAACCTTTGGCCAGTTACTCACAAGAAAGAAAAAATATATCATCATACAACAAAATGAAGCACAACAAAAGGCATAACAAATCTAGTAGTTGAGTGTTTTGTGGCACAGCCTAACAACAGGAGGGATGCTGAGGAATGGGGGAGGTTTGCTGTAGAGTTCAAAGTCCTCATGGCGCTGGCTCCAGGCCCATTTGTCCCGTTCAAGAATGGGTTTCAATGTGTTGGCATGTAGGATGTTCTCTCTCCATGGCTGGAAGCACAGTGAACAGTAGTATTACTTATCACCTTAACCCTCTACTACTAACCCACCCTATGACTAAAGACCTCTGGAGAACAGCTACATGTTTCAGATTCTTTTGAAATGTTATTTTAACTGCAACTGGGACAGTAAATTATTGTGTGGTAAGGACAAATGAAGCAACAGCATGGCTAATATTATTAGTCATGTCATATTATATGCTATGCTATACTTTTATATTATACGATATGTTCTGTCAACAATTACAGAATAAGAAGATATAAAGAGTAAATAAGAATAAGTAAACAGTCATAAATGTTATCCCTGTGCTAAGGTCCGTGGGAATGTCAATAGACTGAACCTTCCTGTTTCTCTGAAAACCCACACTGATGGAAGATGAAGAGTGACATCACCTTTCGCAGCTCTTCCACACGAGCCTCATCTGGGTATCCGGGGTGCACTTTAGACACATCAGTCCTTGTACTTGTGAGCCAAATCCTAGAGGTAGTAACTGAGCTGGAGTCATTTTTAGAGGTCTCATCTCCAGGCTCCACTGTAGCACTGTGGTAATGTTGACAGTAGGTGAACCTCCGCCCTGGCACCTGAAGTTATCACCAGAGAAACATTTCTTTGTTAAACATTTGATTCCTTTCTGTGTTCATACACAAAAATATACAGTACTTCATTTTATCCTTGAACGACTAATTACATATACTGTACTTCATATTTTTGAATACAGATTCCTGGATGTTTTTGTCATACTATTAGGCAGTTAGGCACTGGGTTCCATCCATTTCTGTCTACCTACAGAACTCTACCACCTACTGTATTAGACATGTAAAACTTGCTTGTGTTGTGTCATCCATCCAGTGGGCAGTTCTGCCTGTAGTTTAAAGCAGTAATATCTGATTTTGACCACACTGGGACAGTGCAACAAACAGAACAGAGTTTTTAACAGAACACTGATATTGTATCACCTCATGAAATTGTTATGATTAATCTGTTAGCAAATAGTTGCCTATTTACGCATCCAGCTAATACAGAGCAACATCTGGCTCTTAAGCTGCTTTGTTAATTATAGCTAAGCTGCCTACCTTAGCGAGTGAACTAGTTCGTACTTCTGCAGGCTGTAAACATAAGTAATGACCTGAAGGATGTTAAAACATTGTGTAGAGCTGAAGGAACTGGAGAGTAAGGTGATAATGCTCCTTGGGTTTGTCACTATGAGTGACTCCATTCACATTTTACAAAGTCATTTGATCCAGTGTCAGTTCATACATGTTTGAAGAGTCTGAAATCAAGTGTAAATTATAAATCACTTCAATTATTTGGGTTGCTTCATTCAGTTCAGAGTCATAGTCACTGACTATGTAGTTTGTTGACTTTTAAGTTAAACTTTCACATCAGCATCGTTATGTACAGTACATAAGTAAGTGAATGTATCACTGTTCACACCATCCTTTAGCTCAGTGTTAAGTTTAGTATGTTGCTGGTTTAACCTGTTACATCCAGTTAAGCACAAAGCTAGCCCTACTATATACAGGCACCATTAGACAGCTAACTATGTGCAATAGAGTTACCACATCACATCTGCACACACTGGTCTCAGTCATCAGGGGAAGAGTTCCACAGCCAAAAGCTTCTCTTCAGTCAGCGACTATGGTGATTCATTAGAGCCAGTTCATTTTGAAGATTTGCTTGAAGGTTCAGTGCAGTGATGTTTACAGTGATGGATTTTAAAACATGGTTAACAAAACCATGTGGGATTTTAATTGCACATCATTTGTAGTAAAAATTTGTAGTGCACCTATGGACTCAAACCTTTGCCATCTCTTTCCAAAGCAGCTCCTTGGCTTGTTCATTTGAGTTGAAGGTCTGGATGCTGTAGTTGTGTGCTGGTCTAGCTTCAGCCTGCTCCGTCCTTAATACAGCAGCCTCTGGCTTCTGCAACTGTTCACTTTTCTCTTGCACCTTTTTAATATTTTCCTGAAATACATTGAAACACATGAGATGCCCTCTTAATAAATGAGGTTCCACTCAGACTACTGTACTTTAGGCTTACAGACCTGAATAAAGTCCCTCCGCTGGCCCTGCTGTCTCCATCTCATGTATTCTCTGTTATGGGTGTCAAGCGGCATATGTGTTTTCATCCTCACAGGCATAGTGGACATGTTCACTTCAGAGTTTGCTCCAGCTTGTTGCTCCCAGTGCTCAGTACATGTGCCAAATTTTTTGCTCATGCTGAGGATCATGTCAGCTGAGGGGAAGAGATCATACTGCACCACATCTTTGAGTTGCCTTACTTCACACAGCTGGCTTAACCTAGGCAAATTAAAAATACATTTTTGAAAAGATCTATCATTTTTTACACATTTAATTAAAAATAGATTTTTAATGTCATCTTCCGGTAGCTATATACAAGAATTTGAACCATACAGTTAACTGCTTACAGCTAGTACACATCATTATGTAGAGTTTACTTTAGTATGACAAATTAATCTTGGTCCAAGATGTACTTAGTAGCTGATTTATCAGACCTGGATAAACTAACACTGATGGAGACCATTAGTTGCAGTTGAAGGAACTAGTAATTAGACCTTTAATCTAAATTGTTTTTAAACGGCAAGAATAAGCATTCAAACATTTGCTGTTTGTAAATGGACACTGGACACAGTATTGTGACAAAAATACTCAACTCAAATGTCAATTATTTGAAGTTAAATTATGGCACATCTGGTGTACTGTTTTAGATTTTAGAATGCACCAGCCCAAGAAGCAATTGTTTTCCATTCAAGACATTATGAGATAGATACTAGACAGACTACTGTTATGGAACACACTACTTGTTGTGCTTTCACACTACCAAGCAGTGTGAAAGTGCTTTGAGTGTGCTGTAAAGTGTAGAAAAGCGCTATACAAGTATAAGACCATTTACTTAAGCATGTTTGAAAGGTTTCCTAATACCGTTCTTAAAGTTGCAGTAACATTTTTAATAATAAAGGTGGACTCGTGGAGAATTGTCACCCAACAAGGTACATTTGGTATTAAATACATTTGCACCATCTTTCACGTCACTGGTTTGGTTTTGCAGGCCACAGTTTTATTATTTTGGTTCAGTCTCACTGCTCTTATCGGTATCCTGCACAGTCAGCAGCTGTTTTCAGCTAAGAAGCTTTAATAGATCCGGGGCAAAGTACATGCTCAGCACCAAGTAGTAGACAGCTAAAGTTAGCATTTAACAGCTAAAAGGCAGGACATTTTTAAGGAAATTAGTGGAGACCAAAACCGAACTAAATACTGAATGTTGGATTTACATTTACCAAGTAACATTGCATTAGCTAGAAACACAGTGTTTAAAATGTTTACTGAATGTATAAATAGGAAACTGTTTTCATACAAATTTGCTTTTATAATGAAAATTATGTGTTGTTTATACAGTGTGCTACTGTCATCAAGTAAAAAAAGTGTAAATGATTCATTTAAGACAACAGCATGGACTGCTGTGCTGTACAAGGTTCGTAGAAAATGGGATACAACATGTTAAATCACAGGTACCATTCTTTAAAACCTCTGTTTTCTCAGTATACAAGTACCTTGATAACGCTTGGAAGCAGGCTTGGGGGACCATGCCTCTAATGTAGACAAGAGGCTGTCTCATGATGGCCTCTAGGGACTCGTGTAGATGAATAGGACTCAGGCCCACATCTAATGAGTCATAGATGCGCTTGAAGAAACCCAGGTTTGAATTGTAGAGGACTATCACCTGCTCCTCCTCACTCCCACTTAGCCTGCAAAACGTCACACAAACTGACTATAGGATTCTCACTGGAATTTAAACATGCTATCCAACTAGATAGCACAGCTGAAAACTTAACACAGTGTCCATGGGCTTACTTCATAGGAACAGCCTCCCAGAGCCTCCTCACTGCTTTATGTTTCAGCCCTTCAAGAACAAAGATGTGCATCCTCTTATCTAGCACATGGAATCCTGTAACAAAATCCAGATCCTTGCTCTCATCATGCTTAGAATTTATGTAATTTGATAGGCATCTCTCAGTGGTTTCCAGTGAGGCTGACGTGTTGATTCTGAGGATTTCTGATCTCAGCTTGGTCATCACAGAGAAGTTGTTGTAATCAAAGAGGTAGATAATGCGCCCAAATGGTCTGCCATAGGAATCTATCTCACAGCTGTCATTCTTAACATTGAGTGGACAAGCTATCTCAACCTTGACTTTGAGTTGAGAATTGGCCTCAAAATAGTGGCCCTGTGGCATAGGCTCTCTGCTAGCTATTGTGTCCATAATCTTCCTGCTCCATGTACTTCTATTCCTGCCCAGCAGCAGAGGTTGAGGGCAGCATTTTATTGGTAAACATGCCTTTATACTTTTCTTCCCAAATAGCAACTCAGAGAGGTTTAGATTCACAATTCCATGAGAGTTAAAGTCCATCATTTTCTGTTTGAACAGTGCTACACTGCTTTGCGCATCACCATCCGACCTCATGCCAAACTGAGTTTTTGGCATCTCTTCCAACTTTCTGTCATGATCATGAACCTCTATCTGCAGGGGTGGACCAGAGAGGAACTCTTGGAGCTCCTGAGGACTCATCAAACCAGTCAGAATCACATTCACATCTCTGAAGTAGATATTGGCACCATGCTTGTGATAGTCTGTTCTGTGCATGTGCAAGTTATGGAACTTGTACTGGCAATATACAGGGATGCATTTTTCCTGGAAAAGAAATAAACCACAGAATCACTTGCAAAGTTCAGTGCTTAATAAGGTTATAAACGCTCCCTAATGCATAAGGAAGAAATGTGCACCCTGGGCATGTGTTGAATACACATATGTACAGCATGAGCCACGGATCATTGTAAGAATCATGAAATGAGATGGAAGTCACACCTGCAGAATGTGGAAAGGAACCGGGGATGAAGGCATTGAGGTGGCTGACAAAATTGTGATGACCAGTGGATTGAGTTCAGCTTTCAGTTGGCCAGGTATTAGAGGTTTGTCGAGAGAGATGTTGCAGATGACCTCAAATACACCAGATGAGCAGACTGGGAACTGTCCAGTAAACGAGGTCTCACCTGGAAGTCACAGAAATAAGACAAAATTGCTTTCTTTTATGGTTAACAGTGCCTAAAATTTTAAATCTGACAGTTAGCAGGGAGCTAGCAGTGACAAATCACCATGAACATATTTGTCAGGTCCGCTCGGCACGACCTGCCTCTCTTCCGCCTTTCTCTCCTCTGCTCTCTCGATCCTGCAGAATCTGCACCTCAGCTGTGTTGCTTTCAGTAATTAGCGACTCGTTTGTCGGTGCGCACAGCTGGGGTGCATCCCGATGATTACCTTCCTTATTTATACCTCCTGCAGATGCTCCGTTGTCGCCGGAGCATTAATATACCTAACTTGCATACCCCGTTACAGCCCTATATTCGTGGTATGTATCAAATGTCGTTTTGACTTCCACATTGACAGTTCCTGTGCTGTGGATCTCATTGTGTACGTAGGTTATATGTTTTGTGTTATACGTCTTTAGATGTCCACGCTGACAGTCCCTGTGCTGTGGATCCCTTTGTATGTTTTTTTGTCCATTATGTTAGCTAGACGTTAATTTTTGATATCCATGCTGACAGTTCCTGTGCTGTGGATTTCTTTTTTGTTCGCCAGTCCTCCTGGTTCATTTGTTTTTTCACCTGTACGTCCTCATCCTCACTCTCCTGTTTTTTTGCCGTTAGCCTGTCTTCTCCCCTGGTTGTCCTGTTCTCCTTAGCCGTATTTGCTCAGCCCTGGTTGTATGTGTTGCTCAACTCTGTTCCTTTTTGTAATCCCAACCAATAAACCACCTGTTTTTTTACTAGCACCTGGGTCAGCACTCTTGAGTCCATCCTCAGGTCTCCCTCACCCTCCTGGTGAGGCGGACTAAACCGTAACAATATTCAAGTTATTCAGAGGATGAATGCTAATGACTTTAGTCATTAGCAATTAGTCATTTAGTCATTCCTCTGTTGCACTATATGTGCAACAGAGGTTGCACATAACTATTGCTTTGTTTTAAGGAGTCACATACCTAAACGTTTAGGAACTACTTTCAAAACTGTTTGTGTAAATACAAGGTTGACTCACCTGCCAACAAACAAATGGGACTGATTTCAACAGATGTTGTGCCAATATTTTTGATGGTGTCAAGATCATCAGTTGTCAGGTTTTGAAAACCAGTTTTCATTTGTGGATCCAACTTCTTATCTATAAAAAGGATTATGAAAGGTATTTATTGTGGCTTATATTAAAGAATATTAGCATAACATTTACATTTTTCTGGTCAACACTTAAAATTCTGTAATTTAAAGGCAAATTAAAAAAAAGAAACATACCTGTTTCTGAGCCCATCTCTGAATTGGAGTTAAACTTTGCAGAACTTTTGTGCTTTTTTGATGTGAATGACTTCTTCTCACATATGTTTCTCAGATTGATTATCATAGGCTTGATGCCACCTTATAGGGTAAAAAATATCATGTTCATTCAACATATAAAAAAATATGTAAAATGTTGGGATTTTGGTAACAAGCTGAAATCCATGCTCACCACACATGTCTGTTGCATCCTCAGGCTGATCCAGTGGCAGCCTGAAGGCTTTCAGTCTTTCATAGCGGGCCTGGCTGCACAGTTTTTCCTTACTGTTCCATATCTGGAGCTTGATCTTGTGAGGAAGTAGCCTGATCAACATGCTCCTGGTGACTCTGACATTGAAATTTTGGGTCCAGCCAACCCATATCTGGTCTCCTTCACGCCAGGTCCTCAAGATCTATTAGAAAATTCATACATTTATTTTTGCATTAGATGCATTTAACTAAACATTATTCAGCAACAGGATGTTAAGCAGGTTGTACCAGAAAATTCATCCACATGTTAACAATATTAAGAAGAAGAAGCTTTATTTTATTGTAACATTGTGACATGTACAACGAAATTTTGTTTGGAGCCAAGGGCCCCGGGCTGCTGCATGCGTACATGCCGCCATCACGGGCAACTTGGGGGGTTCAGTGTCTTGCCCAAGGACACTTTGACATGTGGGCTGCAGGCACCGAGATTTGAACCTTCAACCTTCCTACTGCACCACTGTCACCCACATTAGCTCTTATATGCAATAAGATGATATAGCTGTATTACTGTTGTACATTCAGGATATTCATGAATTGTTCATTAAAAACACACACATGCACCAGATCATACATCTGATTACCTTGAACTCATCTTCTTTGTACATTTTTGCTACTGGTCCAAACACTATTAGGTCCACTTTGACTCGCTCTGTATCATTTGGCAATAACATGTATTCAATGTGATAGCAGCTCTGAGCTTTGTGGGCTTTTATCAGAACAACGGCTGAGTTTTTATTCATGTTCTTGGCCTTTTCAGGAGCCTCAGGGGCATCAGCTTCTTCACCTAAAAAGGGACAGATGTTTGTGAATGAGAAAGGATATAAGGAATCTGAAATCTTGGTTTCTAAATTATACTGTAGTTGTGATTTGTATATTCAGCACACTGAGATTCCCACACCTACTCATTTATACTGTATGTTCTGTATGACAAGCTTACCTACTGGAACAGCTAAAGCAATGTAAACTGTCCACGTGACGTAATATGAGCAGTCATCTATTTGTGATGTGATATCCTCAGTTGCACTTGACCTGTTTTCCAAATCGTGCTCCATGGATGACAAATCAGTCTCAAGGATAAGGACATCTTCCAGTTCTTTATCTGTAGCCTCTCCATTATCAGCTAGCTCTGCCTCTGACATACTGCCCATGGGCTCTGATTCCACCTTAATATTTTCCATGAAACATGCTGTAAAACAAAAGGGTTAATTAAATGGAAAGTAGGAGGATTTTAATGTTAACATTTCATATCTAGCCCAGAAATATGACCACAATGGAATCACAATCTCTATATTCATAATTAATTTATGGTACCTCTGAAAACTCACCAAATACCAGGCAGATGGCACCCAAAGTAAAATGCTAAAAATATCTAAACACCTTATTTAGAGACATTTAGTTGTGTTACATTTAGTTTAGTTACAACATAATCTGAGATATTTGACAACAATAGTCTCATTACACAGTTATTAATGGGTAAACTGATGGTATTTTTAGGAAAATAAATAATGGATTTGGTTCATGGGATCAAAATAAAACTGGCGTTTTTGTATTTCATCTTGCTAGCTATAACTAGCTCTGCTAAGTGCTTTTGCTTTCATCAATTACCTAAATAAAGACCTACAAGTTCCTGGGCTCCAACTATCTCCCAGGACCTGAAGTGGAGGTCCAACATCAGCACCATCATCTAAAAGGCACAGCAAAGGATGTACTTCCTGCACCAGCTCAGGAAGTTCAACCTGCCCCGGGAGCTGCTGATACAGTTCTACAGACGAATCATCGAATCTGTTCTCTGCACCTCCATCACTGTCTGGTTTGGTTCAGCTAT